TGCCTTCGGATGGTGTATTTGGTTGCAATTCCTTGTGATCACCATGGCTCAGGTATGTATGACTCTCATGCTTTTTGGGAACCTTTGCTGAAACGCCTACCATTATTATTTAGAGGGACCATTGCAGAGAGCTACTTGTCTTTTGGTGCTTTGGAGTTTACAAGATCACAGCTATGATTGCTAAGTATTATTCGATGGGTTTGGAAAATCGCTTACCATGCATCTTTTATACGTAGGTGAATCATGTCAGCAATCGGGAAAAGTGCGTTTATCTCTTGGTGTCATCAAATCTTTATTTCATTTCTGGTGGTTGGGTACCAAGCAACGGGCGATTTCATTGAAGAGTGTCCGCCAATGCAAGTCTCTTGTGAGTGGATTGTATCAGCAACAAGTAACAGCATCCATATCGTTGGTGCCATATCAAGCTTCATCCCATCATCTGGTTCTTCTCGTTATCGGCAATTCAGTGGGCATCCTGAAATGAAGGTCTCTTATCGATCGATCATGTCAACAACAAGGAGCAGGTTTATGTCTTTGGCGTCAGAAAGCTTTCGATCTTCTGGTGGTTCTGGTTATTGACGATTCCTTTGGTGCGCGGCTGCTATTAAACGCCTCTTATGGATGGATCATGTCATGAACAAGCAATGAGAGCCCGTGTCGACATCTTTGTGTTACCAAGGTCATTCATGCATCTCGTCAAGGACTCCATCGTCAAGCTGCATTCCATACCCAATGAAAAAGGATTGGTATCTCATTCATATCGGCTATATTACTGAGTGTACTCCCTTCCGCAGCTAGGATGCTGGTTTGGGCTTTTCGATTGATGATTTTTCGATTTGCATGTGGTCTTGGGCAGCACATTGGTTCGTTCTCGCTCCTTGTAAGGGCTTTTCGGCGTCGTGTAAGTATGCTATCTTTGGTGGTACAAGTATTATTCGACCTTCTCACTGTATATGCCCATCAAGTATCGTTACATCGCTTACAAACCGAGTGCCAGCGTAGCGGGTCTTATCTACAAGAGAATGATTGCAAGAATCGGCTAGATCTGGATATAAGCAGGATTTCGTGTATATGACTATCATTGGTAAATAGTGATCCGTTCATCGTCTTCAACGCCTGCTAACCTCCTCTTTTATTATAGTATGTGGGCTATTCAGCAAGCTACTTGTCTTCTGATGCATTGGGATTGCTATGGATGCAGCTGTCATTGGATGCCAACAAGTTGACGTGCATATGGCAATCATTGGTAAATGGTGATCCGTTCATTTCTTCAACGCCTGCCAACCTCTTCTTTTATTATAGTACGTGGGCTATTCAGGAAGCTACCTGTCTTCTGGTCCTTTGGAATTATCATGGATGAAGCTGTCATTGGTAAATAGTGATCCATTCTTTCTTTCAACGCCTACTAATCTGCTATATTATCTGAGCTATTCAGCGAGCTATTTGTCTTGTGCCCTTTGGATTCTTGATGGATGCTGCTATCATTGGATGTCGACAGGGTTTCATTCATATGGCTACCATTGGTAATTGATGATCCATTCGTTTCTACAACGCCTGCCAACCTCCGCTTTTATCTTAGCATGTGGGCTATTCATCAAGCTAGTCGTTTGGTCCTTTGGGATTTTCATGGATGCAGCTATCATTGGATGTCAACGTCCTTTCGTGCATATGGCTATCATTCGTAAGTGATGATCCGTTCTATTCAACGCCTACCGACATTCCTCTTTATTATAGTATGTGGGCTATTCAGCGAGCTACTTGTCTCTTGGTCCTTTGGGATTTTCATGGATGCAGCTATCATTGAATGTCGACATGTTTTCGTGCATATGGCTACCATTGGTAAATAGTGATCCATTCGTTCTACAACGCCTGCCAACCTCTTTCGTTTATTGTACCTCTGGCAGCAACAAGTCATTGATATCAAAAGAAGAACGCTGTACGTTGGCTCAATGGTATGCATGGCATTGGATCTACAAAACGAAACCTGTTAATAACAAGACTTACAGTGAAACAGCAGCAAGACAATATGGATGACATGGAGATACGGTTTTATTTGAGGCAATGATGCTATTGAGAAATACCACAAGGTAAGAGTGTTCATTATGATGGGATTGGTTGGATTCAAGTGGACTTACGAAAGAGATAATGGCAGGCTCTCTTTCGGCTATTATTATTGTCAAATAACACCTCAAGGATGTCATTGTACTGTACTCTCCAGGGGAGACGATCATGTTATGCTAGCGGAAACAGTGCGACTCAAGTTGCCACCTCAGGGTTTAAACATGCATCCTCTGTTCGCACGGCTCCATCGTTCTATGGCTATTGATTTCCTCGCCTTTAGAGAGAAGATGGGTATCTCTATTGACGCGCAACATGTGGGATCCACGGCTCATTGTGGTGTCAAAGTCGGCTGGTGAAGGGCTCATGGTCTCTGGTAAATCTGGTGTTTTGATCCACGTCCTTTGGGAGTGAGCTAGAGGAGAGTACTGATACTGTGACATTCCTTGGCGTGGTATTTTATTATTACATTGCATTCGGATGGCCCACCTAAGTCAAGTTTGCGTGATGGTTGAGGTTCTGGTATGTATGATTATGATGGTTTTTGGAAAGCTTTACTGAGACGTCTTTTATTATTTAGAGGAACCACTGCAAGCAGCTTATATTTATGGCCAAGTCTTGTACCATGTTATCATTGCCGTCACCATTGGTAAATATCGTTCTAGTGCTATGGAAAACGGTTGTGTGTCTTATCGAGGTAGATTATCTTACAACGCGCAACGTGGGATTGCTGGGCTCGAGTTTATTTGAATACCCTATGGTTGATGTTGGTAAGTGTTCTTCCCATTGTTTCATGTACCTACTAATGTGTTATTGTATTACAGTTGTGGTCTACAGCAGAGATCTACTTGTCTTTTGGTGTCTTGTTGAAGTTTACAAGGCCACAGCTATGATTGCTAAGTATTATCGGATGGGTTTGGAAAATTGCTTACGATGCATCTTTTATAGGTGGATCATGTCAGCTATGGGGAAGACTATTTATACTTTTGGGTGGTATCAACCTTTATTGGGTCTCGGGTGGTTGGTTACCAGGCAACGAGCGATTTCTCTGGAGAATGTCAGCCAATGCACGTCTTTTATGAGTGGATTGTATCAGCAACAAACAACAACATCTATATCGTTGGTGTCATATCAAGCTTTATTCCATCATCCGGTGCTTCTCGTTATTGGTACGTTGGTGGACATCCTGAAATGAAGATATCTTATCAATTGATCACATCAGCAGCAAGGAGTTCCATATCCAGGTGGTTCTGGTTATTTGCAATCCCTTTAATGCACGGCTGCCATTAAACGTCTCTTATGGATGGATCATGTCATCAACAGGCAATGGAAGCAAGCGTCGACATCTTTAGTGATACCAAGGTCACCTATGCATCTCTCCAAGGTTGACGCCAACCCTTTGAGGATATCCCACTACGCATGCCTGTTACCGGTGGATCATATCAGCACAACCACGAAGCAGCAATCAGCAACTGAGCCTATGATATCTCTAGTGTCAGCAACATTTACTCGATTCTCTGGTGGTTCTCGTTATTGGCCAATTGATTTCAAGAACATTCAACAGCGCATGTCTCTTATGGGTGTATCACATCAGCAACAAGTAACAATAAATGTCACATGTCTTTTTGGTGCTGTCAAGGTTTATCCATCGCTCAAGGCATTCGTCGTCAAGTAAAGCTTCTTTCCTTTGGAGATCCATTGGTATGCATAGTGGATCGACAATACAAGTGCTATCAATTAACGAGCCTTACAATGGAACAGCAGCAGCATGGTATGGTTGTCATGGAAAGCCGTTGGCATGGAGATACGGGGCTTGTTTGAGGCAAGGATACTATTGAAGTACCACAAGGTAAGAGTATTCATTATGGGATGTGTCGCATGCAAGTGCACTTACAGTGGAAGGTACGTAATGCCAGGACCAAGAAGGCTTTCCCTCGGCTATATCATTTGGCACGTCAAGGATGTTATTGTATCAACAGCAAGGAGCAACATCCATATCTTTGGCGCCAACTATCTTTATTCCGTCGTCTGGTAGTTTTCATTATCAGCACCTCGTTTGATGGATATCTATCAGCTCACGTCTCTTACGGTGGATCATATTGTATCAGCAACTGCGTACATGCCTTTGTGTGGCATCATTCTCATTTGGCTTTGATATGACTTTGGCTATCCAGCAGTGTTCCACATTCGCCTTTGTATGGACTCCTCTACAGCAAAGCTTTTGGGTGGCACCATGCTTAATCGACTTTTGTGTGATTTTGGCTATCAGGTACGGATCTATTCTTTGGAAAGTGATCGCCAGCATCTATTTTGTATCGACTCCTCTTCATCATGTAAGTATGCTATCTTTCGCGTCGCCAATATTATTCGACCTTCTCACGTCATATGACTACCAAGTATTGTTCCATCCCGTACAAGAAGCCGAGTGCCAACGTAGCGCGTTTTATCAAGCGGACCATTGCAGAGTAACGAATTGATTTGGATATCGGCAGGTTTTGGTAAATGGTGATCCCTTCTTTTTTCTCAACACCAACCAGCCTCCTTTTTTATTATAGTACATGGGCTATTCATCAAGCTACCTGTCTCGTGGTCCTTTGGACTTTCCATGGATGCAGCAGCTATCATTGTTAAGTATCGTTTTATGGGTTTGGAAAATTGTTTAACATGCATCTTTACAGGTGAATCATGCCAGGATCAAGGAACGACGTCTACAGCATTTTTCCATCAACTGGCCTTGTTACATCGTTGGATAGTTCTCGTTACCAAGTACTGGTCATTGCTTTTTATGTGTATCTGCAACAACAAGCAACAACTTGTACATCTTTCGGTGTCTCCAATCTTTATCTAGTCGCATTGCGGTCCTAGTTGTCGACAATCCTTTCGATGGATATCCTGCTACGCGTGCCTGCTATCGGTGGATCATATCAGCAATACCTTTAGTGTCAACAACTCTTTCTCGAATTTCTGGTGGTTCGCATTATTGGCCAATTACTATCATCAAGAGCACGTCTCTTATGGGTGTGTCACATCAGCAACAATCTACAACGTGTGTGTTATCAAGGTATATTGATCGCCCAAGGCAGCCATCATCAAGCAACACTCCTTCCTCCGGAAAACGGCTATCAGCAATCGTTATTGTATGGGCATCTTTGCAGCAAGGAAACCGGCTTTGGGTGTTGGGTAGCATCAAGCATTATATACTTCCATATGGCTTTGGCTAAGTATTGTTCCCATTATCTCAAAGATACGTTAGTAATATGCGCATTCATAGGTCGATCATTCCATCAAGGCATCTTCTTTTTGCATACTCTTTGACCGCCACTCAGGATTGCTGCATGAATGACGGCAACGCTCTCTTTATTTTCTCACTTTTGACACAACCCGAGTAAACGACCAACTCCTTCACCACGAGGAATCCAGCTCATTCGGTAAGGCAACAATTACCAATCGGAGACCCTGTTGATGTTGCAATGGAGCAGCAGCATTTGAAGCCAAGTTGTCAATATGATAGTGGACGATAACAAGTTGTATGTGGATTGGTCATGATGGCAATTGGAAGATGATGATAGCCAACAGCACGATATGGATGGAGATCAGTTCACCAAACACCTTTTTTTTGTACCATGACAACTTGAATGCAACCAACCATATTATAGACTTCTCTTGTAGAAATCCATCTACGTATGAAATTTAGAATAAACGCCATGTTTTCAATGCCATTGACAAATTTAACCCTTCTCTTTGATTATGTAAATAATGGTGCTCATTATTAAAACAGCTCTTTGTCTATTATACAGCAACCATAACGGAGAAGCGAACTTGGAACCCCGTCCAATCAACGTTGATCCAAATCTTACACCCCAAATTACTACACATTCACCTCCCATACATGAATGCCATATTTTCCATTCGAAAGAGCGTTCTCTCCGCTGCATGATGGTGGTAATTTCATTGCGATAGGACGACGTTTTTGTTTTCTCGATAAGGGAATTTTTAAGTATACCTAAATGTTTCACTTCCACAATACAAGTCGTTGTCACTTTGGCGGAGTGGTTAACGCGGTGCCCTGCTAAGGCATTGTCCTTTGGACGCGCAGGTTCGAATCCTGCAGGTGACGTTGTTTTTATTTCGATTTTGGATTGGGTCACGTGATTTTTTTGTGGTATGCCTTGTCACGTATCCATTGTCTACATGCATGAGATTGTAGCTTCTTCTTGTCGAAATGGCATACACCACCTCACGTCCTTGGTTTATGCATAGACATTCAATCTCATCAAGGCTCCATCATCACTCTTTCCTCCTTTTGTGATCACAAGAACACTCTCTTCCACCCATACAACATGCATATATAAAAATGCTTCGCCCATCATTTTACTCCTATGTATCTCTTTCTTTCATCGTATCACTCTTTGAGTGGGTGACACCTTCAAAGCCCAAGTGGATGTAATAACGCCGTAGTAGATAGCATTATCCTCCTGTGGGCGATCCATGTGCTCATATTTATGGTGATCTTTATCCTTTGCCTTTAGTCATTGTTTCTCATCTCTAAAATGTTGGAAAGACTACCTTACTTGAACCCCTTGCCAGCATCCTGAGAGCCATGATTTCATACAGTGCATCAGTAGAGTGGTTCTTTTTAAGAAGTTGTATATATAATACTATCAAAGACGTAATGCTACATGTATGTAAATATAGATGATATGAAGGAAAAATGGATGTGGTTGTGGGAAGAGCCAATCAAACAAGATGCTTTGTTTTACATTTTCTTCACAGTGGGGGCTGGGGGTATGGAAGACTCCAGGTGGTGGTGGTGGAGTATCGAAATAGTCGTCAAGTTGTTGCTCGTATTAGAGCGCGACTAGGGTCATTACAAAGACCCTTTCGGATGCGCTGACCATTTCTGCAATATTAACGATACGATGTTGGATTGCGCAATCTTGACCTATTCGTATACAGCGTTTCTCTTATTGTTGCCCAGGCGTCATCATGATGGATACATGTATGCAAAGTGAATGGCAATGTCGAGCATGCTATGTAGAAAAAAAAGATGCTTTGGAATGGCTTTAGTAAAGAAGGCTGCTGCTTGAGGACCTGGTAGTAAGGCAATGATGGTTGCTGTTGTTGGTGTAGGATCATGTAAATTGTAAAATCACACTTTATTTGGCTATATGTGAGGAGCACTCCTTTTATTTACATACACCTATTGTCTATCATGAGGATGATGATGGGTGTGTTGGGCATGTGGATTAAGCGAATGGGCTCAGTATAGTCGCAGTGAGGGATTTAACTTGGCGCCAAGTGTAAGAATTTGACTTGTCGCTATGGAAATCAAATTTGGGAACAACGCTTCTCTTTGTCCCTCCTCTCCTTTTATACCCACCCCATTCACAACATTCCCATCAAGGTAATGTATTATAAAAGAGTTCTCTTGTTGTTTGTGAGGTGTTAATATAGTTCTGAACATGCATAGGCAGGGAGTGTGTGTGTCCAAGTGTTGAGGAATGAGAGTGGTAGCCATGGTGATATTGTTGCTTCTTTTTGTTCGTAGCTATTCCCGCTCTATGCTTGGTGTCAACAGGTACATTCAGAGCCCAATGTTGCAGCCGAATTGGTTCCATTGACATGTTAGCTGGTATAGAGGGCAAGTTTGGTTCCAAGACGTTGGCTCGTTTGGCGTTTTGCTTCGACTCAACTACACCACACCATGGTTTTCGGTTTCCAGTAACCAGCAACAACGGGTCTTTCTGTATATGCTAAAGGTAAGTGCAATGAAACCAATAATGAAAAGGGTGTTTATTGTATATGTGTGCTAATAATGAACCGAATAGGATTCTTTGGTCAGGCAATGCAACTTGGGGCATCATCATCTCTTTGGGTTCGACTCCCAGCCTGTGTCAAGTGGTCGATGACGATGGGTTTTTGGAAGAGCGTGGTCACCGTGTTGAGGTAAAAAGGGATTTGCAACAGCTTGACATCAGTGCAAACCAACACGCTCTTTTCGTGATAGGCTCGTTCTTTCCCTTGAGGATTTCTTTTCATGAGGTGGGAAATGATTGGAAGGATTGGATTGGGGATCATTCTTTCTTTGGAGGATGAATGAGAACAACTATGAGCCTGGACTCTACGTAAGTGATGTCCTTCCTTGCCATGGATCGAACTGGCCTTGCGTGATTCGTGCAGTGCTCTCTCAAAAACAAGGGATCGCTCGACGTTGCTCGTATGGTGGTGGTGATTTGGTTTGTGAATACCTTCTGATTGCATACGTCCTTGCAGAAGATCGCCTAAAAGTATGCCAAATCGTCATCATTCCAGTATCAGATGGTCTAACTTGGCTGCTTTATACTTATAGAGACAAGCATTACGATGATCACCACATTCACAACAATGACGATTACGATGGTCACCTCATTCGCAACAATGACAATGATAATGACAACGAGATTCAAAAGGAAGCCTGCAAGATCCCATCCTTATTGGGTGACGAGGAGATTGGCGAGTGCTGGCGAGTACGAGTACGAGGACGAATGATGACGGACGACGAAGATGACGATGGTAGAAAAGTAGCTAGAAAGCTAGATGAAATGAAATGAAGCATTGTTTATTACGCAGTAGTTGGACTTTGCTAGTTTGTGGATTACATAATGTAGCTTCGGAGATGGAATAATAAAGGTGGTCCGGTTATGTATCGTTCATGCAAGAAGTATATGCCTTTTGTGATCCAATCGGGAGGGGTGGGATGACCTTGCGAGAAAAAGTAGTGCTTGTTAGAGCAGAGGTATAAGAGTGGCTTCGATGCATCGGTAGTAGGTTGTAAGTGATGGTAAAGAGTGGATAATTCACACTGTGAATAATTGTGGGTGGCCATTCTTCAGGGAGTTTGCAAAACCATTGTTCATAAACGGTAGACATGATCTTTTAGCATCGGAAGCATACCCACAAGGTTGTGCTGTTCATATCGTTGTTGCACAGCGCTTTCCATGCGAGTCAGAATGCGAATGGATTCATCCAATTGGGTTGTACAGCGTTTTTTGTCGACAAGTCATTGATCTTTGAAATGATGTTGCTGTCACCAGATAACAATTTCTTCAATGAATGAATTTGCGTTGTTGTGTATAATGCTGCTGTTAAATCAGCTCGTCCAAATGTTGCTCGAGATGTGCTGCGATGATAAAAATGAGTGCATCAGGGGTGAACCGCCTTGGCTTTTGAGACATGTACATGTCCATAGTCGATTGGGTTGATACAATAAACCCCTTGATGATATAGTGGATGCTGATGAACTGCCAAGCGTATCCTGAGCTGAATTTGGAAGCCGTTAAATCACCATCATGGGAGTTGGGGGTAGTTCCCTTGCTATTTTCATCATGTCAAATGCACCATGTCAATTTCAGCACCCGACGTAGACCACTGTACCGAAACCAACTTTTTGCAGATGCTTCACGGAGAGATAGCTATATCAAAAGTAACAAGGTGGTATGTATGAGTAGTGACTCATCAAGCAACATGATCATGCTTTACCCCGTTACGAGAATACAATATCACAATGACGGCCACGATACAAAGAGTCACTATGAATGACCACAAAGATCAGCGCTTATTCACAAGGTTGTAAGAAGTGGGGTACGTACAAAACCTTGGAAATTTGAACTTGTAAAAGCAATCAGGAAAGAGGCCGGCGGGAGTATGATGGGCGGTGACAACATCCTTTTATTGTGCATTGTGGGCGTGGGTATTTCTATCTGTTGGGGATGATGCATTATTGTGCATTGTGGGCGTGGGTATTTCTATCTATTGGGGATGATGCATTGATAAATGGATGCATGAGCTGATAAAGTGGTGGGGCGCATATACCAGGAATAAGTCTGAGAAGTCTAAGTGTAATATTGTCTATGTATACATCGGCCAAATTAGAGTAGGTGATAAGAAATCTATCAAGGAAATCAATCACTTGTATGCCTAACGCACATCCCCATTGATGTAAAGGTGTCTTCCCATGTTGTCAACCTACCCTTAATCGTGCTATGCGTGTTCGGTAAGCAGCGAGGATGATCGGATCACCTTTGATATCAGCAATCACGGTTTGGATAAAGGATGGTGCAAGAGACATGTTGCAAATAGCAAGGCCCAGCTGTTGCATGAAATGTGTAAGGACAGGCACAACATGTATTATAAGAGTCGGCTTCCTTTACCTCATTATCTTTCACTTCTGCACTAATGAGTGAACTGGGACGTCCAAAGGGGCAAAAGAGCGAGGCTCGTCGTCGCAAGAACAAAGGAATCCGGCACTCGATCGACAATGCATTTCCAACCATCAACGCCCAGCAATTCAGTCTTGTCATGTCCACTATCTTCAACCACTGCCCTCGTGTCGAATGGCAACACCAATGACCAACCCATTGGAGATCTTGAAGCTGATGGACCAGGTGTGCCGCTATCTGATTTGCTTGTGGATATCGAGTCTCGTGCAACCACTACGTGTAGACGCCCTCTGGATGATGTTGATGTTGATGATGTTGGTGATGGCGCCATGGACCAACAAGAAAGTGATGTGATTGATGATTGTGGTGAAGAAGCTGCTCAAGTACAAGGTCATGTGCAAGAATATCTGCTCAAGATGCAAAGCAAGTGGTTGGTGCAAGAACAAGTCCTTTTGGATATATCCTCTCGATGTTTTCTTTGTTTTGCGTGGTAAGCTTGATCCAAGTATGTTATATTTGACATGTATACTCATTTGGCTACCAGTGATGTGAAGCCTGTTGGCAAGGCAACTGATGTGGTCACGTTACGCTGATGAATCCGACATAGCGATTATTTACGTTCACAATACGCAGTGTGGAAGGATCAAACAATGCAGCATATACGCAGATCAACAAATGAGAATGTGATAGCTTTGGTTGACCAAGATGTTCAATCCCCAAGAAGAAAAAGAACGGCATCATCAGCACTTCATCCATGACAACAAAAGCTATCACGTGCAATTCAATCTCAAATATCACCTCTCGTACTATACTATAAGCTCAACATCCTGCTCACCATGACAACAACAACTCAAATCACCCACCAACAATACCTCCTCGTATTCAACGGCGTTTACCAGGACCACCTATCACCGCAACTCCCACCAGCATGTGGCATGATGCATGAAACAAGCCAACTTTAACACCAAAGCCAATTATTACTACCACACCGCAAGTTTTACGTTACAACTCTGCTCGCTGCGCGACCCCACCTATGTCACCAGGGCCGACTTTGCATACTTGTCTTTTGGTGTATACTCTTTGACTTCTCAGCTTTCCTTTGCAACGGGAACGTGCCAAAGAGTCGACTGAGAGGACATACCAAGGTATAGTATTATCACTGCCAAAGCGAAAATGCCGGCTTACTCAAAATCGTACCATAACCAACCATAGGTGCATGGGAGCAAAAGGATCAACAAGGTATCTGCTTTACACGGTAGTTCGCAACGAGGTATAGTATACAGCAAAGATTGTCTCATGGATGGAAGTATGTTGTGCTAAAGGTGGGTCGTATTAGCTCCATCATCAAAGGTCTTCGATCGAGTACCTTGGCAACACTGATCAAAAATCCAATTTTCACGGTCCCGATGCATGTATTTTCAGCAGCATTTGGAGCTTGTGTCTCGATCACGATTTCTGTAATCAAGCTGGATATGGATCGGTTGTACCTAGGAGGTCATCAAGTACCTATCACCCGAATGGTGGTGGTTCATGTACATCGATGGAAAGGAACACGCATTTGAAGTAGAGGACCCGTTTGTTGGCTAATCGATTATCATGCAAAATGCTCTCTTGTACGGCAATACAACCCGATCACATCCAATAAACCCACGACATACCGATACCAACGATCAACAACAATGCTGGTAGTGTACTACGATAATCGTACATGGCGTTACTTTGCATCAGATCACTCGTGCGAGATCACTCGGGTGTAACATGAGAGGCAACACTATCCATCAGCTTATAGACATGTACCTGAGATTGCGTTGTCGTTTATAGAAACAAAGGATAGGAGTTGTGTTGTCGTTTGATAGAAAAGACAATAAATGATGCGTTCTCGTTGTTGATAGGAACACGAAACACAAAAATTATGCCCATGTTGATAGAAAAAACTAATACAGGAATACGTCCACAATGATAGAAAAGCAAAAATAGTAGCTATGCTCTCCTTGATAGGAATGATCAAGAAGCAAATGAAGGCATCATTCGATGCCCGTTATCATTGTTTTCTCGGAAACGGCTCACCAATCAACTGCTAATTTCATCAACAGAGGTTCGCACAGACGTTGCAAGCAAGCATCTAATTAGGCAAGCACTGATGGCAAGATCTTTGAATACAGATCCTCAGCACACCCGTTTATTTAATCTAGAGAAGAAGAGCTCATTATGCCCAAACGCAAAAGATGTTGGTCTTCATGCGTAGCTATTAGTCCTTTGTGCTATGTTTCATAGGATGGAAGCATATACGAGACATAAAACGTAACAATCCATCGGGTAGTTGGCCCTGTGGAAATACTGAAAGGAGGACAATACCGGGAGGGATATAGATCGGGAGCACTGTGGGGTATTGGCACACCGATTATAGAGATGTCTAAAAGTGGTACACGATCGATGAAATTATAGTGGTGGTATTGGTACACCGATAGGTAACCTGCAAAATTATTGCAAGTACTTGCATACCCAATAATTTCTGCCCATTGGTAAATCCCAAGCATTGACTACAAAGACGTACCGCCTTTCAATGACTAAAAGCACCATCATGCATCGTAATCTATAATCAAGCTTGATATTAGCTGTCATGCAGCTTGCATTATGCACAATCAATCAACCCGACAAACTAAACTCATTTTGACTATTGGGATTTCTATATGGCAAAATAGGACATCATTCGTTTATTATATTCAATGGTGGGGGATGAGATAAGAGGATGACTTGTTTAGGACATGAAGAGCATACCGCTACCTTCGTAGACAGCAGCAATCTTTTGGATGGAGTTGATGAAAGCGGCAGTACGGTAATCAACGTTCTTGAGGTTGGCGGTTTGGCGGGTTTCTAAATTACACAAAATCCATATTAGCCATCCATAAACGATAATAGGCCTTATTGCTACATACCCTCACAAGAGCTGATCATGGTATCTTCCAAACCAGAGTAGATGAGATCAGCTTCCTCAGCACCGTGAACAATTTGTCGTCGCTCAGCTTCAGTAAGAGTACGGCCAGCGTTCTCTTCGACAACGGTCAAAAGCTTAGTGCGAACGGATTCATCCCACTTCTTGTTCATACGACCGAAACGGACGTGAGACAAGTTCTTGAGCCATTCAAAGTAAGAAACGGTGACACCACCAGCGTTGAGCAACAAATCGGGAATGACAACAACACCACGCTTCTCAAGAGCTTCGTGAGCAGCAGGGGTAACAGGACCGTTGGCACCTTCACCAACAATCTTGGCCTTGATCTTGTCAACGTTTCTCAAACCAATTTGACGTTCAAGAGCAGCAGGAATCAAGATATCACACTCACGCTCCAAGATCTCAGTGGGGGTGTTGATGATTTCGGCAGAGTTGGAGAAGCCACGGAAGCTGCCAGCATCACGACGATGGGCAAACAACTTCTCAACATCGAGACCATTAGGATCGTAGATAGAGCAGTCGTGCTCACCAATACCAATAACCTTGGCACTAAACATCACATAATAAATATCACCTTTGCCTCTTTTCCTTTAAGACTTGTAAACTTACCCATTGGCTTCAAAGAACTTGGCAGCATAGTAACCAACGTTACCGAAACCTTGAACAATGACGGAGGCATCCTTCATCTTGCCGCTCAAACCAGTGCGCTCTTGAACTTCGGGGTAGTTCATGAATTCACGAACACCCTATAATCATACGTTAATACACGTGCGAGAAATTATAGCGTAGCACACACATACATAGTAGACACCAAGACCAGTGGCTTCGGTACGACCACGGACACCACCTTGAGAGATAGGCTTACCAGTGACACAACCAGCGGCATTGATATCACTAGGGTTGAATTGGCGGTAGGTATCCATGATCCAAGACATCTCACGGGGACCAGTACCAACATCAGGAGCAGGGACATCGGCACCAGGACCAATGAAGCCCTTTTGGCAAAGCTCCATGGTGAAGCGACGAGTGATACGTTCGAGTTGGTCGAGTGTGTAACGCTTAGGATCGATCTTGATGCCACCCTTGGCACCTCCAACTAAGATCATCATTACCATATTAGTACGCCCATTCTCATTCAAATATAGCTTGCCATTTACTTACATGGTACATCGACAACAGCACACTTGAAGGTCATGAGGGATGCAAGAGCTAATTACCCCATCATCATGTCATGTTAATTTGCTTATTCCCAATAAGGAGCAGTATCTTTGTTTTCGTTTGTATACCTTCAACTTCTTGCAAATCGACCTCTTCGGAATAACGGATACCACCCTTAACGGGGAGACGATGACGGGAGTGCTGAGCACGGTAACCTGTAAAGAAATTACAATGAGCGATCGTGTCACACACACATAAACATTGCGTGTCTATGTATAAAGATGATTACCTTCAATGACTTCAGTGGAGCCATCATCCATTTGGATAGGGAAAGTGACACTCAACACGCTGTCAACAGCGCGAATGTGACCCAAGGTACCAGCAGAGACATTGCTGAGCTTGGCAGCTCTGTCATAGTAGATCTCAACGGATTCCAAAAAGTGAGGTTCATGGGGCTCACAAGCGCTTTCAGTAGCAGCTACAAGGGGTTGTATGAGAAACCATGTCATCATCTTGTATCATTGATACCACTTACCAGTGGTCATGAAACGCCACATGGGGGCAATGGTTCTTGGGTGGGCAACAGCCGACTTGAGGTAAGCAGCCGATGGGCGAGCTGCAGCCTGAATAGTGGGGTTTGTGGAGACGCGACGCAAGATGGAAGCCATGGTAGAGAGAGGTGAAAGGAACAAGGAAGAGATGAAACAAAAAATGTCGCGACAGCTGTGGCTCTAGATATAAATAATAGTTGGCACTCTTAGTCGGCCCAATCATATCCCGTCGTAAGCCGAAATTTCCCACGACGTCCCAGTTATCCCCCCACACACCCCGCGTTGGGACAATGGAAAAGGAACAAGTTGCACACTAAGGCTTTGTTTACCTTAACCTACTACTATGCTTACCAGTAGTTTAATAGCTCTCAAGGGTATCAAATGAAAACCTATTTTCAATTGAACCAGGTAGAGTTTTTCGAAAAGGGCATCCTGCACATTGCCCAAACTGAGCTACAATTACCACACTCATTTTCGTGATATCGTGTGTTGACTTTGTTAATTTGATCGAGTTTTCGTTAGGTATAAGTGGATGAGAAAAGCGTATCCCGAAGCGAGGGAGCTACAATTACCCCATTCGTCCATTTACGGAGACGTGCATGATCCGTTTGCAAACAAGGTTTGGCGATTGTTCCCGTTATCTGTCCGACTTTTTTTCGAAACCAGCCAAGTGTACGTGTTCCTTGCCCAATGCTTCATTATCTATCAGCGATTAACCTACACCTTGATCTATGGAAGTGGTTGTTCCGGCATTGTAGTATAATTAAATAGATCTACACGACGTCCTTCAAGGTATTACCTATATAGCCCAAATGGCAAAGAAGCAAAATACACCAATACTCAAAGTAGCAAGCTTCATATCTAAATTTTTATCCGCAATGAAAAAAGTTCTTCGCTAGCTTGAAAAAAAACATCGGCTGACGTAGCTTTTGAACCCTTGAAGACATATGCGGTATGCGGTGTTGAGATTGTTGGTTGACAACACGCTGGTAACCAAAGCCTGTTTGTAATCCCCACCCCAGACGATCGGTGTATGTACTATAAATGGGGTATGCATCCATTACCCTATTTGGCTCATGTGTGTGCGGGAATTACGCTTTGTCCACAGCAAAGAGCAAGGCGATCATCATCACATCATCATCATGGGCACCACCACTACCTCGTGGGCTGGATAAAATGAAACTATGTGCATGACAACCTACCACCTACTACCCCTGTAAATCAAAGCAAACATTGAATCACCCACCCTATAGGTGGTTGATTTACTCTCTTTCCCCGCTCCTCACACTTTTTATAACACAATGGCAGAACATTCGTTGAGCGATAGTAGTACTGCTACTGGTACTAGTAACCAAAGCAACAAGCGTTTAAAGACATCTGTTCGATTACAAGACACTGAAAATGAAGGACGCCCCAGCATTTATTTGTTTATTTTTGTCAACCCGCTCTCTGGCAATCGCCAAGGCAGTAATCTCATCCATTTACCTATACAACATTTTCGTTTACGACGCCTTCCTCAAGTTCAAGTGGAGATTCACAATTGCCTCGACCCAAAAGACCAACAAGATGGTATGCAGCGGATAGCTTTGATTGAAAGCAAAGTGAAGCAAAATGAGCTACCTCCAATACGCACTGCAACCAAGCAACCATCCTCGGCCCATGCAGCTGTTGACGAAAGAGGCCATACCATGTCACAAGGAGAAGCCAATGCTGCAGCTACGTTACCTGAAGGAAGTGGTACTCTTAGTCCTAGTGTCCAGACACGGCATATCCATGTATGGAGTGCTGGTGGTGATGGCACGGTGATGAGTGTTGTCAACATGCTCGAAGAATATGGGATTGATTTGGACTTGGTGTTTTTTTCATGCAAGTATTACACGTGTACCCTTGTCACTCTTTATGTAGACTCAGATCAAGCTAACATTAATAATAGGCATACCCTTTGGCACTGGTAACGATTTTAGTCAAGTCCTTGGTTGGGGTCGGACAACCAAAAAGAATGATGTTGTGGGTGCCAATTTGAATGAAATGGAGCGATTAATATGCGATCGACTTGAACAAGCAAATGCAGCACGTCTCGACGTCTTTCAAGTGACCCTGGAAGCTCATGAATCGGGACATGTTCGTAAAGCTGACAGTGATGACAAACAACAGCAATGTGTGATGACACGAAATATGGGCAACTACATGTCGATAGGTGTACAAGGCTATGTGGGCAGCGGATTTGAGAAGCACAGGACCAACAAGCGATTTTTGAACATCCTCGTGTATACACTCGAAAGCTGCAAATGGGTGTTTTGGCGAAAGTTTCCCCGCATCAATCATTTCATTGAATCGATTGTGGATGACAACGGCCAAGACGTACTACTAAAAGTGCCACCACACTCTGCAAATCAAGAAGATGGGGCTGATGTGCCAACATTGAATGGTAGTGCAATTGATTTGGTGATTCAAAATATCCCACATATTTGGTGAGTGTAATAGGCGTTGACTTTTCACACAAGAGGGGGTGCTCACATGATTGGGCAGGGGCCGTGAGGTGGATTTGTGGAGCGAGGCAACCACAGGCCTCGAGTCGGTTGCTAATCGACGTGGGAGCACGGATCCAAAAAACTGGACACCACAACTTGCCAATGATGGTAAACTTGAAATGATAGCACTAGGAAACATGTACAGCTATATCAAGAAGCTGTTGAATGCAAGGCAACATGTTAGTCGCGTGGGGCAATTCAAGACACCATTTGATATCGTATTTCGTAAGCCATCTTTGAAGCATCATGGTGGTGGGTGTCTAGACTTTGCAAGAAGGAATCGATACGAGCGTAAAAATATCATGGGAGTGATGTGCGACGGCGAATTCTTCTTAATCAAGGATCCCAAGACTATACGATTTGAACACAAGGCTCGAATATGGACTCTTGGTAGAGATAGTAAGGATGGTCAACAGGGTAGACTTGTTCAAGATGAGAAATTCAGTGCAGGAAAAAAAGGTGAAACGGCGGCATGACGTTTTCGGCTACACTGCATGTGTTGTTGTTGTGAGATTGTCGTTCCGAAGTCAAAAAAAGTGAAAGAGAGAGAGGGAAGAAAGAAAGAAAGAAAGGCAGCAACTAGGCAAAAAAAGACCCATTCTTATCCTTAGTGCACCCGTTCCTTTTTTTTCTCTCTTTCTTTTTTCTTCACCCTCCAGTCCTTTTCTCTCCTTCCTCCTCCCACTCCACCTCCTCCTCACCCCTTTTATATTCTCTCTCTCTTTCTCTCATTCTTCGTATACACACACTACATACACGTCCCCATTGAGTCATTACTCTTCTCGATCGTCGTCTTTTCCTTTTGTCATCACTTGGAGCACTTGTCTCCGCAGCGCCGATAAAACGATTACCTTACAAATTAAACGACGTTGTGCAATATTCGCTATATCCAGTAAGATGTCTCGCCATGCTATTCCCACTTTTTACTTATGCGATACACACAGCACACACTCCGATATGAGTGCCTTTGCGATAGCTGTCTTTCAGACGACAGCCACTGTGGCAATCAATGACGATAACGCGCCTGTTGCAAATCAACCTTTTGTTCAAGTCTTGAATGTCGTCGTGGAAACGGATACGCATATCTTGTCACTCATTCGATATGTACCCGATTTGCTTGAATTTGACACTTTGGTATATACACACATACACACATCCATCCTACGCTATCTACTTACATACTTTTAATAGATCAAGACCCATTATCATCGCGTCAAGATTCCATTTCCAGCATTATCAGAAACATCCAAAGCCGACAAGCGACGTAGTTTTCGACAACTCTTGACATCTCTTTCGCATCATCATAGTCGCTCTGATTCTGAAAAGATCCAACGCTACTTGCAAAAATGCTCGGTGGAGCCCGTTGTACGTTCATCCAGCATCTTTCGAGACTTCTTTTCAGCTCAGCGAGATGAAGATCAAATCATTTCTAAAATACCCAATCCGAGAATCCTTACACCTGATGAACACGTTGAAGATGCCGTTGTACCTCAATCACCACCACCAATACCGCATACAAAACAACGAGAGATCCCATCATCACCGCCGCCTAGAGTACCTGAAAAAGTCAAGGTTGAGGAAGCCATTGTACCACCAAAGCAGGAGAAGCAACACGAGGAGCAGCAGCAACAACACGAGCAGCAGCATCAACATCAACAACAACAAGAAGAGGAGATTGAATCAACATCACCACCACCAGCAGCCATAGTGCATGATAGCCCTGCAGAGCAAGGAGCAACAAATGATCGCCCCACCACCACCAACTATGATTATCTCGCTGATTTGGAAATGATCAAGGTTCTTGGCAAGGGTTGTATGGGCAAGGTAAGTAATAATTACTACTATTACGAGGTAATGGTCATGTCTAATAAGCGATGCATATAGGTATTCTTGGTTCGATCACACAAATCCAATGAGTTGTATGCCCTCAAGAGCATCATGAAGGAGTTGGTGATTGAGCAACGTGAGATTACGCATACATTGGCAGAGAGAGATATCCTTGCTACCATGTCGGGTATCAATCATCCATTCTTGGCCAAGCTACATGCATCATTTCAAGATACACATCGGCTGTATTTAGTCACTGATTATTACTGTGGTGGCGATTTGGCTACTCAAATGAGCACCTGTTCGACCTTTTCAAAAGAGCGTATTCTTTTCTATGCAGCCGAGATGATTGAAGGCATTGGAGAATTGCATCGTCTCGGCATTTTGTATCGTGATCTCAAGCCTGAAAACATCCTTTTGACCATTGATGGCCACGTATTGTTGACTGATTTTGGTCTCAGTAAATGGCTTCACAGCGATGAACACCATATGACGCAAACCTTTTGTGGTACAGCAGAGTACCTTGCACCTGAAGCGTTATTGGGAGAGCCGTATTCATTTGGTGTTGATTATTGGGCGTATGGAACGATTTTATACGAGATGCTTGCAGGCATTACACCCTTTTGGGCTGACAACCATTCGGAAATGTACCGACGCGTCCTGCAGGATCCACTTGAATTTCCTCCCGACACAGATTTTGAAACAGCCGAATTCCTTTCAGCTCTTTTAGAACGAGATCCTTCCATGCGTCTTGGTGTCAATGGTGTGGATGAGATCAAATCACACATTTACTTTGGCTCTATATCATGGGATGACGTTTATCATCGTCGTCTTATTCCACCCTATGTGCCTGATATCCGATCCTCCCTTGACTTTTCAAACTTTGATCCCTCTTTCCTTGAAATGCCGCCTGTGTTAACTCCGGTGTCATCCCAGCATAACCTTACTCAAGAGATGCAGCAAGTCTTTGATGGGTATTCTTTTGTTGATGAGCGATTTGCATATGATGATAAAGAGGAGCCAACCATCCCATTACAACAACAATCCCCGCTGGCCGGTGAAGATGATGAGAGTAGTGGATGGGATGAAGAAGATGACGAGGTCGCTAGCAACAACAAGCGGCTTACAATGGATCGCATCGATGAGCAACAAATCAAGCAAGAGCAATTGTATAACCAAGTATGTCCAACGGTACAACCAGCTCGAAAACGTGGAAGTATAAGCATGCTTTCTGATGTGGACAGCTTCCAGCTTGATAACAGTGATCAATTGAAATCAACTCTTCCATCATCACATGAATACGGCAGTGAAGAAACCAAACGACAAGCAAAACGTCGCAACACATCCGGTCCTCCAGTGCAAGAAGAAGAAGAAGAAGAAGCAGAGGATGAAGTAGCTTATGCATATCGTCAACAACTCAGCGAATCCATGGTGGTAGCTGAACCTCTTTTGGTCAACAGTAATTCATCATCATCCATCACCCATGGTCACCATCATCATCATCACCCTCACCATCATCGCAACATGCCTGATTTATCCCTTGCATCCACAGCAGATGATGGCGTTCCCCTTGATGAGCTTGATTTTGGAGGAATCACTGAAGATCTCGATCTTAAATTATCATTCAGCGTCCAAATCGATCCCACCAAGGCATCAAAACCATCAGGCAGCAGTACTACAAGTAGCCGGCGAAAAGCTCGTCGATTTTTCAGTCCTTTATTACGATTCTAATCAGGGTATTACACCATCACACATTACTATTCCTTAACCGATCCATTAATATCTCCTTTACATCATCATCACACATATATACACACTCACTCACAATCACAATCACCCCACTATTACCATTATATCCCAAAACATCATTCCATACCGAATACATTTTAAGCCAACTTGAAGAAACGTTGTATTTCTATTGTTAATGCTGGATGGGTACAATGGGATGCAACATGGGGAATTTGGTTGGGTGGTATTCTAAGAGTGATATCTTGAACATCCTGTTGTAGATCATCCATGAATGCTGCGAGTTGTTCTCCATCAAGTGGATCAGGCCAATGATCGGTGTAACGTATGCATAAATGCTTGGCTGAGACCAACATGGGAGGTTCGATCCAAAAATCCACGAGCATCAAAGTTTCCAAGTCCTGTGCAGCTTCAAAGCATTTGAGCATGGCTTGTTGAGCATCGTTGCCGATCGATCCAACGAATCCAGTGGATGCTGGTATGATTCCAAGTCTTCTCCACCCATGCAGTTCAAGATGCTGTAATTGTGGACATATCGGTAATAGAGCTTGTAGCCACACGTTGCGTGTCCATGTATAACAAGATCCAAATGTAAGGTGTGTCAAATTCGGCAGATGGGCGATCCATTGGTATTTTTGCACAAGCAGATTTTGCATAGAGAGCCATCGTTGTTGCATCATCATCATGGTATCGTCATCGTCATCATCATCCTCTTCTTCTTTGGTTGTAAACTCCTTTAAAAGAGCTTCCACTTGATTGTAATCCTCACTGCGAAGATTGATGACACGCAAGGTATGGAGATGCTGTTGTTGTTGAAAAGGTGCTGCTGATGTTGTTGCAATTGTGGTGAAACCTGCCATGTCCCTGAAATGGAATTCCACTTGACGACCGTTTCCTTGGACCAACGCATGAATATCAAAGGATCGACTTGCACACCAAGGCTCAATAGCTTGACAATGGATCACTCTCACGCTTGGTAGCTGCTTCAACACGCTCATGATCTCTTCCAAACATAAATGGAGCGTATCCAGATGTAAAACGTTGGGCATCACCACTGGTAAAAGATCTTCCAAGTGCACATGACGTCGCGTTTCATACGGCTTTCGGATACTGAGTCGACGTATAGCGCCTAGTTGAGGTTGCCATGCCGTGGATTGTAAGAGTCGTGCGTATGCATGGACCAGTGCTGGTTTGTCGAGCATCAAGGAACGCCACTTTATACACACCATTGTTGAGATGACACACACGTTTGCTGGTAGTCGTAGCACTAGTAAAACTCACCACACTGGGTCGGCGTGCAATGACATGCCATCGTCGACACACTTGAGACAAGATGCAACGGATTATGGGGCAGGCGCCACAATGTATGAAAACAAGCTCGAGACAGTCATCGGTGAGCTTATCAATAGCCAACATGGAAAAGAAAAAAGACCGCTTGGCATGAAAATAGGACCCGCTACCATTTTTGGCGTATTCACTTGATGGCCATCACACATACGAAGCTTATAAAAGTTCTTGGTTTATCATATCTCTTAGTTGATATAGAACAATAAATGACTTTGTCTTATGCCGTGTCTTTGTTAACAAATAAGAGCCAGCAGCGTATACATTTAGCCATTGAGAATACCACAGCCAAGAAGGGATAAATAGTAGGGATCGTAGTAGCCACTCTCTAGTAGTATGATCAACGATCGTTGCTATGCAACCATTGTCACATTTATAATATGGGAGACATGACATCCTTCTCAAAAGCTCATTGTGCAAACGAGATCCAAAAGTCACGTGAAGAATAGGATGGCAATAGGAAAGTTCCTTTTGCATAAATAGAATCAAACACGCTACACACATGTGATCCTCGCACGGACCCAGGTACATTGCAATGGATGTTGTTGGTGCTTTTCAGGGATAAAACCACACGATGAATTGTGGTGCGTTATATAATCATGTGATGGCCAGTAGTAGTAACAATATGCAAATTAAGCCACGTGTGCGTGTGTGTGTGTATGCCTAGCTTATCTCGATATGCAAAGCTTTATCTTCTGCATGAGATGCAAGGATAACGAGAAAAACAGAAAATGAGTGAGCCTTCATTTAAGGCTATTGATGACCGCTGGTGCTTTTTGCTGCTACGTATTAAGCTTAGAGTAGCACACAGTCCACGGATTCCAGATCGTCATTCTCGCAAAGACCCTAGTTGTCGTGTCACGATTGTGTAACTTGATCCAAATTACCAACATATTATGATGCATGGGTAAGGAGCCGATTTGGCGAACATGATTCCGTCATCAATGGCAGATTTTTTGATGATTAGCATGATTGATGTGGATACAAGCAAATGGACATACAATATAGGGTATCCATGAATGGGAATATAGCAATTATCAATGCAGCTGGATGGCAATGTTGTTGCACACAAACTCGCGTGCGAATTGCACTTTACCCCATACATTTTAAAAGCACTTGCCAAGATAGATAAGCCGTAGCACAGCGTGTTCCCATGAAACTGGGGCGGTCTGTGAGCCGTAATCCAAGACAACGTGTTCCCCTTCCGTAAAGCACGGGTTATTCTCCTCTTTTTTTTCCTCTCGTATGTTCAATGTCGTCATTGAAGCTTATACCCCCCTAAAGAAAGGGATCACATAACGTTTCATCAGTGGTTATCAAGATCAAAGCTACCACGTTGTTGGCATGATAACAACAACAACAATGGATAACTACTACTACTACTAGTAGTATTCTTCTTTCATGTTACTATAAAGACTCATGACGATGATGATGAGGCATACAAAGTAGCATCATGACAAGATGAGCAATGACCATCAAATATACATGGATGCAAATGCATAGTGTCGGGCAACCGGGAAAATGAAAGGAGGCAAGTTTCAAATAGAATGGTGAGTAGCAGAACGTGATGCGTAGGCCATGGAGTGTTACACGAGGTATAGGACATACGTCTCTTTTTCATAGCCAGCGCAAACGGGTCGTTTTCATCAGGTACTCTCACTCCGCTTTATTCTTTCTTGCAGCGTTGCTCTTGCTCCACTTTCGTTTTTCCCTTTACAGCTCTTTCATATCACTCACTTTTGCACACCCGTCCTTTTTTCCCTTTATCCTTTCCATTGTACACGCGCACTAGCAGTCTCTCGTTTCTTTTATCTTGTCCTACTCAACAACAACACCCCCATTCGGCTTTTGACAGCCTCGCCTTTACAACATGTCCAAGGTGCCCATTTTGTGCAGAGTGCAAGCTCGGTACCCATTCAACTCCAACGACCCCTCATCGCTGAGTTTTCAACAAGGAGATTTCATTGAGGTTCTTACCAAACTCGATTCCGGTTGGTGGGATGGCTGGTACGCTTTCAACATACACATACCCAATGTCGGTAATAGAGCATGACTAAAAAGACAACGGTATCTAGGTGCAACGGGGTGCGTGGTTGGTTTCCTAGCAACTATGTCCAAATCATTGATGATTATGAGCAAGAAGATGATACTGCAGAACATCGTGGCAGCTTAGCGGATCCTCGATTACATCGTGAGGAGGCAAGTCGTTGAATTGAATGCATGTTCGAATTTCATTGTTCTGACGCTTGCATATTGCATATATTTAGAATTTTACGCGATACACGTCCACATCAGACGAATCAGATATTGTCACCCCAAGAACAAAGAATGGTGTTCCTCTTCGCACGAATCATGAGTATCGCCTAAGTCTTCCTTATCAAGGCCTCGATCCACCTGATCTTTCCAAATCATCCATGGCTCAAGTGAAAACAAAGCCGATGTTACCGCCCAATTGGTCTCTCCAAATGACTGAGGATGGATCAGAGTGCTATTATTACAACCATGTCACCGGGGAAATGCGATCCACCCATCCAGAAGATGTTTCGGATACAGAGATTGATGACAATGCATCTTATGGCGTCAATGGCTCAATTGATGATGAGGAGGAAGAGGAAGAGGACTATGATTTCAAATCGGTTGATAGTCGTCCTTGGGAAGAACGCACACCGGATGATAGTACTCCTGAAAAGGTAAAAGGACATTGCTCTGGGGGAGGTGAACCATACACACATATTGATGTGATGTTTTGCGACGACATGTAGCAGATCCCTTCTCCTTGGATGAAACGCACCAATAGTCAAGGACGGATATGTTATTTTAATCCTGTCACGAATCAAATGGTCGTTGATTTATCAGAGATTGATCCAAGCACCGGCAAGGTAAACATCATCACCATCCCCAACATTACCATTTATGCTAATACGTGCATATATAGATCAAATCGGATGAACAATGGCGACCTCCTTTACCAGATGATCCACCTACACCCTCTATACCACCAAAACCATTACCACGATCACCCTCACGACAAACATCGGTTCGCCGCACATCCGTCATTGACAACAATGAACCATTGACATGGAACAAGTTGTCAGCACATATTGCTTTGGCGATTCATAATCTCAACACGGCAGCCAAAAATGGTCAAAGGACGCTATTTATCCCCAACGCAGCAGCCATTGTCAACGCTATACGCATGATGCTCATTACATCTGGCACCATTGATAAGGAATCCGTGTATATCAAGGGCAACTCTGTACTACGTGCACATCACCGTGCTATGATGGCATCCATGTCCAAACTTGTCCTTTCCTCTCAGCTCAGTGCCGACAGCACCAGTGAAAACATTGGCAAGATGCTTTCAGATTCCAACGAGTTGCTTTTGGCTGTGCGTAATTTTGTAACCACTTGTCAAGAAATTCCAGTTGCTGTGCAACACATGGATCCTATATTGACCGACAAGGCACCACGCAAAGCCGGTGACTCTTCAGCAGCAGCAGCAGCAGCAGCGGCAGGAGCAGCTGGCACACCACGTACCAAATATACATTGCAAAGCGACCTTGCTGATAATCTCGAGACGTATGGTGCAAGCATGCATGAGTCTTTGGAAGCCATGTTACAAAGCATACGCCGTGATGTTAGCTCTGAGGAGTCACGTTTTTCATTGGCAGCACTTGTATTCACACAATTTCGCAACCTTGCCAATCAAACAGCACAATTTATTGGGATCATTGAAGATATCGATTACAATGGCATGGATGAATCACCCAATGTATTGGAATTACGACGCAGCCGACAACGATTGTCTGATGGGCTTGGTACCTTGTTTTGTTGGATGCAATCCATGACGGATGAGAGAACGGCACTCAAAAACGTGGTATCAGAAATGGAAAATGCATCAACATCCGTCAGCAATTCCATTCGTTCCATTTGTTCATGCGTTGGACAACTTGTGCGTGAACGAGGAAAAAGTACACCCGCTACACCCACAAGCAATCAAGCACCCTTATCGCCATCACCAGCAGCAGCAGCAGCAGCAACAACAACAACATCCACCAATCTTGCCGATTCGGTTATCCACGAGGAAGAAGAAGAAGGGGCATTGGAAAAGGAAGAGAGTCCAGCAGCAGCAACTGAAAGTATCAGTGAAACGGCTACAACATCAACATCTGCATTGGAAGAAAGTGAAAGTAAAGCAACATCAGAGGCCGTGCTCACGACTCCTGGTTCACCTACAGCCGAATCAGTGTCACCTCCAGCATCCGTTACAAGTGGCCTAAGTGCAGCAGAGAGTACCCGATCACCAACAACAGCGACAGGCTCGCAATCCAAAGCTACTTCAAGGAAGCTACAAAAGTTCTTTGGTGATGATGCACCTGCTGCCGTGGCTGCTGCATCCAAACCTTCGGTCAATGAGCGTATGTCTTTCCTCGAATATGACTATGAACCAAACGAGATTGTGTTCAACATGGAAGGCTATGTCAAAGGTGGTACTTTACCCGCCCTGGTGGAACGATTGACATTGCACGATTATCTTGACATGAACTTTATCAACACGTTCCTGTTAACGTATCGATCCTTTTGTTCATCCATGGAACTTTTGAATCTGCTAAAGGCACGCTACAATCTCAAAGTCCCCGAGGGCCTTACAGAGGAAGAAGAGGAAATGTGGACACAAAAAAAGCTCAAATTGGTGCGATTGCGTGTGTTTAATGTCCTCAAGAATTGGCTAGAGTTGTATTATAACGAAGACGATCATATCATTTTGGAGCCATTGGAGGAGTTCACAGCAACAAGTATTCGCAGCTCATCGAGTTTCTCGGCTGATCAACTTGAAAAGCTGATTCGTATGCGCAAGGAAGATCAAAGCCAAGGTGGATTGAAGAAAATGGTATTGACCCTTCCTGATCCTCCAGAGCCCATTCTTCCACGCAATAGGAAAAAGCTCCGATTGATGGACATTGACACTTTGGAAATGGCGCGACAGCTTACCATCATGGATTTCAACTTGTACAGCTCTATACGACCTGTTGAATGCCTTGATAAGGCCTGGTCCAAAGACTCAGGAGATGATACCAACGTGGCAGTCAATATCAGAGCATCTATTGAATATTGTAATGAGGTGACATCATGGGTATCGGATGCAATCTTGAGTCAAAGCGATATCAAGAAACGAAGCAATGTCATCAAACACTGGGTACAGGTGGCAGAGGCAAGTAGTGAAAAAGGACATTTATGTATATCCAATACGACGCTAACATGAAGGGCGTTTAGAAATGTCGATTACTCAACAACTTCAACACTTGCATGGCCATCTTGTCAGCCTTTGATAATAGCTCAGTGGGACGACTCAAACGGACATGGGAGGTGAGTAGTAATGATGATGAATGGAAGGAATGGAAAACTAATGCAATTATCCAAGATGGTGGGTGCACGGACCAACCAAACCTTATCTCAGATTCGCAAGTTGATGGGTGCCAATCGAAACTTTACAGAGTATCGAGCCATTATTCATTCAATCAATCCACCATGCATTCCTTTCCTTGGCATCTACTTGCAAGATTTGACATTTATCGAAGATGGCAATCCCAACTATTTAAAAAAATCCAAAGAGCTCATCAATTTTGCCAAACGAGCCAAGACAGCCGAAGTGATTCGTGAGATTCAGCAATACCAATCGTCTCTATACCGCCTCAGACCTGTTGAGGAACTGCAACAATTCATTCAAGCCAATCTGCAAAGCACACGTGACGAAGAACAATTGTATAATGAAAGCTTGAAGCTCGAACCTAGGTAAATTTATCTCTCGTATGCTTTTGTGATGATGATACTAATCATGAATCGATATAGGGAACGCGAAGATGAAAAGATCACTCGCCTTTTGCAAGAATCAGGATTCTTGTAGTAGTAGTAGTAGCAGCAGTAGTAGCCATATTACACCCCCTCATCACAGCATAATAGTAGTAGTAGTCAGTAGTAGATAATATAAGATTTTCCGCCTCCCTTCCCTCGCAACACACACACTCTCTCTCTTTCCGTTCATCATCATGCCATTGTCAGAATATGAAAAGAAACGTCTTGAGAATATAAAGTAATATCCTAGATTCATATTCCCTACCACTCGTTTATTCACTTGCAATACACCTCTAGACGTAACCAAGAACTATTGAGAGAACTCGAGATTCCACAACTGGATCCTTTGCGCAAACGATCGGCCACACCCATCAAGAAGCACACACCAAAAAAGGCGCCAAAGAAGGAAAAGCAAGAACCCACACGCCAATCAGCACGATTACGAGGCATCAAGGCTGAAAATGTTCCTCCACCCAAAAGCGAACCAAGTCTTTATCGTTCATCAGAGAAGAAGGCGGAACGCATTGATCGACTCGATGACGATCAGCAACAAGAGTTTCTCGCGATCCTGCGTCAAATGCCCAATACGCGCCCCGCGCCACGTGAGGCCAACAAACAAGATGTGGAGACACAGTCAACTTTGCGTAACCAACTCGAGGATCTTGAGATCAGGCATGAATGGGCTACTGTCAAGGTGACACCGGATCGTATCAATTGCAGCGTGTAAGCAAAGCCATCCTTCATCATCGTTCACAAAGAAGAGGGGACATTCATTGTTAAGGATTTTCATTGTTATCTTGTAGATTTCACCCCTCCAGTGGCAAGATTTTGGCATGTGCAGGTGACACGGCAGGCAACCTTGGATTTTGGGATGTGAATGGTACCAAGGAGAACGACTTTGATGATGAGAAAGAACCCGTGATATACGCGTATCGACCCCACACTCGCACCATCACCGATTTGCATTTTGATCCTACGGATATATCAAAGTTGTATACGTCTTCTTATGATGGCACCATCCAATACTTCGATATGCAACAAGCAAGCTTTCATTCAGTGTCGGTGGATTCGTATTCGTTTACCAATTTCGATTTTTGTGATAAAAAGGTAAGCTACATCAAGAGTGGATCAAAGGATGTGGTTGTTGACATGTTGCCTCTGGTAGATCTGGTTTTCAACTTCGGATGGTGAAGTGGGCTCCTATGATTTACGTTCCAACAAGACACACGTGCATGAATTACGACAAAAGAAAATTGGGTGCATCCATATCAACCCCAAAAAGTCCCATTTATTGGCAGCTGCGAGCAATGACAGGACGTTGACCATTTGGGATGCACGCTCGTTCAAGTCGCCATTGCATGAAGTAGAGCATGGATACGCCGTTACCAGTGCCTATTGGTCACCGCTAGGGAACAAGCTTGCAACAACATCCTATGATGATCATGTGCGCGTGTTTGATCTCGACAAGTCTGATGAACTCTCACTACTATCAGCCATTCCCCATAACAATCATACCGGCAAGTAGGTATCAAAATGTAAAAGTAGTAGGGTATGGGTATGATGAGCTCACATGTATATATTGATAGATGGGTCACCATGTTCCGAACACGATGGAATCAGAATCCAGCAGCCCTGAGTCATCAACATTTTATCGTTGGCAACATGAAACGTACCATTGACTTCTTTTCTGGAGAGACGGGCCAAGAAATGTGTGCATTATCGGATCCTGACAGGTTGACCGCTATTCAAGCTGTAGCTATCTTTCATCCAAGTACCGAAAAGACGCTGGTTGCTACAGGCAATGCAAGTGGCCGAATGGCGTGTTGGTCATAATCTTAGCCTTTTTTTTTACCATAGTTGCTTTTATTCAATATGTATTACCAAGATAGTGCTTAATGCAGTTAGTAAAGGTTTAGAGTGCTATATCTATACTATCTTGTGTGTATCAACGAACAGATGAAGACGACCAAGATTTGATAATAGACGATAGGGGGTATGATCCGATGATGCTGAAAGTCCACTACACTACACACATTTTATACCTTACACATGGTGCTCATATCGAGGCCATGATGTCCAAAGACTACAAATTTCCTAGTCCTACACATGGTGCTCATTACAAAGGCCACAACATTTATACTACCTTTGCCTCTTCCTCCCAATTTTTGTTAAAGACAGCATCGAGCATGCTAAGAAAGAGGATGCTTTGTAATGGCTTTAGTAAAGTAAGGCTGCTGCTTGAGGACCTGGGAATAAAGCAATGATAGTTGCTGTTGCTGGTGTTGGATCATCATCATATCATCATGTAAATTGTAAAATCACACACTCCATTTGGCTATATGTGAAGATCATTCCTTTTATTTCCATACGCCTATTGTCTATCATGAGGATGATGATGGTGATGGGTGAGTTGTGTGTTTGAGTGGATGGTGGTGTGTGTGGGGGAACAACAGCGGGGGATTTAAAATCGGGGGGTAGCTCGACGACTTTTGACAACGCGTCTATTCTCTTCCAAGTCCCCAATCATGGTACAAGGCATTTGTTACTTGCCGTTCGAAGACTACGACGTTATTGGTGCTATTACCCGTACACTTGTTTCCTGGAATGACGTATACCATTTTGCACGTTCTTGTCGCGCCTTGTGGGAGATAGTCAACAACCACAGAATCAGCTTGCCTTGGGCAATTCAGCAGTACGACAGCGTTTCTTGTGGACTCCCTCACTCCATTTGCCAGTGTCTCCTTTTGAGTGATTTGAGCAGCAATGGAATTGGACCTGTGGAAACTGCATTGCGACACCATTTTGAGCACGTCACGATTATTGACATAACAGCTTGCACAACAGTATCAACAAACAAGGCAAAAGATCTGGTTGATTTGATTGCCAGGTGTCAGCGAGACATCAAGATAGTGGTTTTGGATGCACACAATGACACTGTTTCATACGCCATTACTCGCCAGCTTTCACGATTGAAATCATCATCAACCATCACCATATCCACCATGCCACCAAAGAATGATCTTGCGCCCAGTACCAAGAGGACCTTCACCAATCGTCATGATGAGGATGATGACGCATATGAAACGCCACACCAGATTCGAGAAATGAAGCGATACGCAAAGAATCTTGCCATCAAATCGGGTGATGCTGTGTTGCGCCCACGCGAGCATGCTCCCACATATGTATCAGCACCTTTTCCAGTGGTCGGCTTGTTCAGCGATCGGAGAGCAGCATACAACAGCAGCAAGCTCTCATTCATGGATGATGCAGAACTTCTTCCTTCAGTATTGCATGATGCCGATTCGATCAACAAATTGGTGAAGCGACATGGAAATCAATTCATCGAAAGCATTCTCTTGTTTGATGATTACTATATTTTTGTCACGGCTTTGGATGCATTTGTACATGGGAAACCATTGCTTGATGATTGTGCAAACCTCGTTCAGAAGCCATTTCAAGAGACACCTGAAGCTCAGTTACGTGCAAAAGAATTCCATGGCAAGGAATATTATGAGATCTCGATTTACTTTGGCAATTTGGAATTTCTCGTTGTGGGAGGGTTCTTTGGATCGACAACTGGAATTACCCGGACTGGATTTCTCGGCTCATCCATACACAACTTGCCACTTGCGCTGCGATCATGCAAACAGTCTTCGGAGATCCTTACACGCGCACTAGCAGCAGACACCACTCATTCCAATCGGCTCTTACGCCAATATGGGAAGTTCAGCTCACGATACACCTGGCAGTTCCTGAGCACCTACTATGTCATCAAGGGATTTTATCCTATTAATCCACTCGACTACAATGGCCATATACTTGTCCCAAAAGCCAAGGCGTTCACCACCGATACACTCATTTCTGTCATCCTTCGCAGCACATCTCGAGCAACATTTACACAATCTGATCTAACAGCTGCATTATACGCAACCATGCAAATCCCTTCAGTGAAGAAATTGCTATCTGGTGATAGCAGCATCATGACGTTCAACAACATCATCTCAAAGGTCACCACGTCGACGAATGAAAAGTACTGTACAGCCCAACTGCAAGAAGCTATTCGCATTATGGGGCTCATGGAAACCGCTTTGCAACAAGATGAACAGCACCACAACCTTCTGGGTATGCTTCCTACGCTGAAAGAATCATGTCTGTCATTCATGAACAACGGCTTTGCCAATTCCCTCAAACATGGAAACACAGCAATCATCAAATCAATGAGCGTTTATCATCCACAATTGTTCGCAGTATGAATTATCCACTCTATGTATCACTTACGACCCCTATTATCGATGTACGAAGCCACTCTTATATCTCTGGCCAACAAGCACAATATCATCAGTAACCCTATCCCACTTGACAATGATGGTAAGAAAGGTATAATTGGACGGGAAGACTTGATACTAATACTAGCTTCTAACATTTATAAGGATATACTCGAACAAGCTTCACACAAAGTATCAGCACTGGCATTAATTATGAACCAGAATCTTGACTTTCTACGGATGTAAGTTAAGAAGGTGGCGCCCCACTTACTCTTGAAAACGATCATTGACATGCTTTTTATGTAGATGAGCATTTTTAATTTTGATCCTGCGTTTTCTCTCCAAAGTTCGCATGTGCTGGGCTATTTTATGAAGGATAACAATGCTCAATTTTGGTGTCACCGTCACCGTCGAGATTTGGAACCATTACAAACCCACCACTGCCATACTACAATATTCAATCACTCGATCTCAATGTCAATATCAGTTGATTGGGAGGGGTTACACCTTTCCACATGATGATGTTAACGTCCTTAACTTGGTTTAGCTCAATGATTCTACTTGTAAATTGTTTATTTAATACATGTAACTTTTTTGACACGATCATACGCAGTGGCAGTGTATTTCCTCTATGTTGCTTGCTTGTTGCGGGCCTGTGGTCCCAAAAAAAGGCAAATCTTTTAAGCAGTTGTCATTTTGTCGGGTTATAAAGGTGTCAGCGACTAAAACGTGATACGATAGAAGAATGGGGAATGTGTGTGAGTTACAGCAACCCGTGAGTGGAGCAGCGAAACAACCGAAAATCAGAAGGGCGACAAGTGTGTTTTTGCAGCTCCGCCTACTTTTTCCCACCCGCAGCTGTACTGCGTGCAGTTTCTCTTTCTCTGGACAACAGTTAGGAACCCGTGGCAATGCTCGCTCGCGCATACCATGTGTTTGTTCAGCAGCAAAAATGTTTGTATTATGGTGAGATGCCATGTACTTTACAGAGTAAGCTGCATTCTGGCAGATGAGACGTTTTCGTGGTGAGATGCCATGTTGATGTTGACTTTGCTGGACTAGCTGTTATGGCTTAGAGAAGATTACACCCTGGCTTTTGTGTGTGATCGTCTCATTGCAAGCCTAGATGCCTTTACAAACTACTAATCAAGCTTTATAATAGTTCAGCTACTTTAGTCTACTCATATTTACCACGTTCGAGGCGGCAACGTTTAGCAGCAAGGGTCCCTTTGTATAATAAATGCTTTTTTTTATTGTGGATACAGTTGGCATGATTTGATTTTAAGATTATCCGATGTAGCTATGGTTACATATCCTATGTTGTTAACTTGGTTGGATACAACGAGTGCTTCTAAATGAGGATAGACCATTTTATACTCACTGTGTATATTACACAAATCATTACACTCGTTCAAGGCATCATAAGCAGCTGGGGAATCAAAGTGAGCCGACACCATAGGAAAACGTATCACTGTTATCTCCCAAGCATGCAGAGCAGTTTTATTCTCATCACGGCACTACATACACTTGACATGAAAGTTTCGAGATACAGGGGCTTTATCCAGTGTTATGTGATCTAAGCTGAGGGTGATGATGGGAGCATGGGCATTCCGGTTCGGTCATGTTCTTGGGTAAGGTACACACACGTCTGCATAGTTGACAAGTTGCAGGATGATTTTGACAAGCCATATACGTAACTTTGTAGTCGGCCATGGGCATACGGACGGCATCACCAATGCTTTACATATAACTTTATATCCACCTCCCCCCTCCCCCCACAACCACCCTGAAAACCATATCACAAATTTGTGCAATAAGGATCTTTAAGCTTGGATTCGGCTGCATAAATAAACTACCTTTGTAACCGACCTGCTAAATAATAGTCATAAGCTAGCCAAGTGGAAGAATTCTTGTAGCCGCTTCGCTGGCATCCATTTCATTGTAATCCTCATCGTGATGGTAATTGTCGTCTCTACAAATAAGAAAGCAACCAAGTTAGGCCATCTGATACCGGGACTGATGACGATTTGGTAGTACCATTAGGCGGTCATCTCTAAGGAAAAAAACAAATCAGGAGACATCCACCACCATACGAGCAACGTCGGGCGATCCCTTGTTCTTGAGAAAGCACTGCACGAATCACGCAAGGCCAGTTCGATCCATGGCAAGGAAGGACATCACTTACGTAGACTCCAGGCTCATAGGTGTCCTCATTCATCCTCTCCAAAGAAAGAACGATCCCCAATCCAATCCTTCCAATCATTTCCCACCTCATGAAAAGAAATCCTCAAGGGAAAGAACGAGCCTATCACGAGAAGAGCGTGTTGGTTTGCACTGATGTCAAGCTGTTGCAAATCCCTTTTTACCTCAACACGGTGACCATGCTCTTCCAAAAACCCATCGTCATCGACCACTTGATACAGGCTGGGACTTGAACCCAAAGAGATGATGATGATGCCCCCAAGTTGCATTGCCTGACCAAAGAATCCTATTCGATTCATTATTAGCACACATATACAATAAACGCCTTTTTCATTGTTTGTTTCATTGCACTTACCTTTAGCATATATAGAAAGACCCGTTGTTGCTGGTTACTGGAAACCGAAAACCACGGTGTGGTGTTCTTGAGCCGAAACGAAACGCCAAACCAGCCAACGTCTTGGAACCAAACTTGCCCTCTATACAAGCTAACACGTTAATGGAACCAATTTAGCTGCAACATTGGGCTCTGAATGTACCTGTTGACACGAAGCATAGAGCGGGAATAGCAACGACATCGCCATGGCTACAGCGAACCACCCACTACGCTCGCTCATTCCTCAGCACTTGGATACACACACTCCTTGCCTATGCATGTTCAGAACTATATTAACACCTCACAATCAACAAGAGAACTCTTTTATAATACATTACCTTGATGGGAATGTTGTGAATGGGTTGGGTATAAAAGGAGAGGAGGGATAAAGAGAAGAGAAGCGTTGTTCCCAAATTTGATTTCCATAGCGACAAGTCAAATTCTTACACTGGGCGCCAAGTTAAATCCCTCACTGCGACTATACTGAGCCCATTCGCTCAACCCACATGCCCAACACACCCATTATCATCCTCATGATAGACAATAAGTGTATGTAAATAAAAGGAATGGTCCTCACATATGGCCAAATGAAGTGTGATTTTACAATTTACATGATCCTACACCAACAACAGCAACCATCATTGTCTTACTACCAGGTCCTCAAGCAGCAGCCTTCTTTACTAAAGCCATTC